GACCCCCCCAGCCACGCCCGGGGTGGGGAGCGGGGACCCGTGATGGGGAACGGGAGCCATTCTAGAAGGGAGCGGCGACCCCGGGAGGAGAACGGGAGCACCCGGGGAGGGAGTGGGGACCCCCAGGGAGGAGCGAGGACCTCCGCGTGCGGAGCGGGGAGACCCCAAAGAGAGCTAGGACCCCCGAGAAGGGAGCAGGGAGCCCCTGAAAGGAGTCGGGACCACCCAGGGAGGAGCGGGGACCCCCAGGAACGGCGCGGGTAGCCCCCAAAAGGAGTCAGGTTCCCCGAAAAGGGAGTCGGGACCACCCAGGGCGAAGCGGAGACCCCCGGGAAGAAAGCAGGGACCCCCGGAGAAGGAGCGGGGACGCCCCAAAAGGAGCACAGACCCCCCCGGGCAGACAGCGGAACTCCCAGGAAGGGAGCCGGGACCCCCGAGCACAGAGCGGGGACCCCCGGGGAGGGAGCGGGGAGCCCCTCAGAGGAGAACGGGAGCTCCCAGGGAGGAATGGGGACCTCCAGGGAGTGAGCCGGGACCACCCAAGGCAGAGCGGGGACCCCCAGGAATGGAGCACGGACCCTAGAGCACGGAGCAGGGAGCCCCCAAAGGCAGCCAGGACCCCCAGGAAGGGAGCAAGGACCCCCAGGAAGGGAGCAGGGACCACCCACGGCGGAGCAGAAACCCCTAGGAAGGGAGCGGGGAGCCCCACGGAGGGAGCCAGCACCACCCAGGGCGGAGTGGGGACCCCCGGGAAGGGAGTGGGGAGCCCTCGAAGGGAGCACGGGCCACTCCGGGGAGGGAGGAGGGAGCCCTCAAAGGGAGCACAGCCCCCCCGGGCGGAGAGTGGGACCCCCGAGCACGGAGCGGGGACCCCCGGGAAGGGAGCGGGGAGCCCCCGAAGGGAGCCGGAACCACCCTCCCTCCCCACGAAGGGAGGAGGGAGCCGGGACCACCCAGGGCGGAGCAGGGACCCCTGGGAATGGAACGGGTACCCCAGAGCACGGAGCCCCCAAAGGGAGCCATGACCCCCAGGAAGGGAGCAGGGACCCCCGGGAAGGGAGCAGAGAGCCCCCGAAGGGAGCACAGCCCCCCCGGGCGGAGAGTGGGACCCCCGAGCATGGAGCGGGGACCCCCGGGAAGGGAGCGGGGAGCCCCCGAAGGGAGCCGGAACCACCCTCCCTCCCCACGAAGGGAGGAGGGAGCCGGGACCACCCAGGGCGGAGCAGGGACCCCTGGGAATGGAACGGGTACCCCAGAGCACGGAGCCCCCAAAGGGAGCCATGACCCCCAGGAAGGGAGCAGGGACCCCCGGGAAGGGAGCAGAGAGCCCCCGAAGGGAGCACAGCCCCCCCGGGCGGAGAGTGGGACCCCCGAGCATGGAGCGGGGACCCCCGGGAAGGGAGCGGGGAGCCCCCGAAGGGAGCCGGGACCACCCA